TCTAATCACTTGTTCACATAAGAATTCAAAATGAAACAAAGGATAAATTTTTAACCAAAAGATAAGGTAGTAACACAGTAACCCAATATATTTTATATTGCAATCCCATTGTCATAGCACAGATGAGAAGTGGCAATCCACATTACAAAATACAATGCTTTTACATTCCACAGTACCAAGCACAAACTTCTTCACCAGTTACACTTCAATACTTCATTACAACAAAATCAAACAATGGGACATTGCAAACAAAACAAAAACTACCAGAACTAGTTCATCTTGTTTCTATATCATCGAAAACAATAGGCGATGCATTTTTTGTGTTGAACAATAAGTGCTACATCAAAATGCTTCGTTCTGGTAAATCTTCATTCCTTTGTCTCCTGAAAAAACCAACAACAAATAACTGAAAACCAAGCAAAGCTTTGAAATCTACACATCCATAAACAAAAGGGAGAAATCAAGTTTGATTATACCTTACTGACTAATTGCCAGTACACTCCGTCGACTCCATTTTGCTTAAGATTGTGACTTATGCCTGGGATATTTTTCCACTCTAGGAATGATGCGTATTGTTTTTTGAAACTAAGCATTCTAAGCTTCACCCATTGCAATGGTAATCTTTATTCTAGATTTTTCAATAAACCGGCCAGTGAGAAACCGTAAATACATATTAAAACTTAAAAGTCCTCATGTTGCTTACGGGGATATTATGAGCTGCATGTTCAACTGTTGGAAAAGGAATTTTTCTTCCTCGTCATTCTAACCTTCCATCTGAAATAGATTTGCTAGTATATAATTTCGGGTTTGTGGTTTAATTCCTGCCATTTTGTACCTACAAAGAACAATTATGAAGCACTCATATAAAGATTGTTACTCAACCTTCCTATGGGTATATGATTTTTTATGAAAATATATCTACACTTAAACTTTGACTGGGGGTAAATAATTAGTAAAAAATGCTTTAACAGATTCTGTAATTTCTGTACCATTCTCATTTTCATCTCCAAGGTCACTAAATTTCCTACATCAATGAGCTATACATGTTTCACCAAATTTGTGTAATAATCCCAATTCCTCTGTAACAACATGTGAGCATGATTTGAGAGGGGTAAATTTTGAGAAATAAAGGATGTTGATGCAAAAAAGCGAGGCTTTACGTGATATGAACCCTAATTTATCCACCAAATCCCCAATTCATGAATTACCACCTGCACTAATTTCACGAATAAAACCCTAGCTTAACAAACTAAAGAGAAGACACGAAAAGGATTATGGAGTTGCAAATATATAAATCGATTAAACATGTAGTAGTTTACCTGATGAAGATTCGTTTTCATTCTTTTGGTTCAGAAATCAAAATTTTGAGGAAACACACCTTCAAGATTTTCTGTGAAACCTACGCGCGATTGTTCGGCGTCCTTACAAAATTTTTGTGGAGTAAAATCGAGATGTACTAGTTGTAAAATCTTGGACGGGTGATTGTTGCTCTTTTCTTTTTCTCACTTCAGTTTTTTTAAGTTCAGTGGGCAGTGCTAAAATTGGAAGAAATAGAAGTTTTGGTGTGATGGAATGGTATTATCGGCTCAAATTTGTGCAACCAAACAAATTATTGCGGGTGATTAGGTTCTATCCACGAGCCCTTAAAAACCAACCAAACTGCTTATTGTAAGTGATAAAATGGTGAACAAAACAGGGCCCAAACCCATGGTATTATATCAGGCCCAATCAATAAATGCAACCAAACTCAGAAAAACATTGTCATTTTTTAACCATTAGATCATCCGATCTAATGACTAAGATTTATTCTCATTTCTCGCATTAAGAACCATTCTCATGTGAACCCAACCCTATATATATAACAACCCTATATATATATATAGGGTCGCGCTCACATGAGAATGGTTCTTAATGAAAGAAATAAGAATAAATCTGGACCACAAAATCTGATCATCCAATGGTCATAATAAACTCAATTTTTTACACTCATTAAGGGTATAATAGACCATTTATTGTGTCAAGTGGGCTGTGGGCCCTATATCTCATTTCCCGTTGTCTTCCCCGCACACACACAGTAACACGCACCCCACACAGTACACATTCGGCTACACACACACCCGCCGGTCCCCCGCCACCAGCCACCGCCGGCGCCGCCTCTTTCAGCCTGTCATCACCTTCCTCGACATTGACACGCACAGACACATTTCACACACACACACACACACACACTTCACGACACACACAATAGACCACACGCACCGCCGGTTCTCGCCATCCGCCATCGGAACCGCCGCTGCACCGCCGTCGGACCACCGCCGCTACACCGCCGCATGTCACCTCCAACAGCCCGATTACTGCTCCAATCAACGCCGCTCTCCGCCCTCTACATCCAGTCAGACAAACGACAAAAACAGAAATTCCGGCTGCAATCCAAATCACCGTTGAGAACATCCGACCTCGAGCATTTGGAGGCTGGAATTAGGTCGCCCAGGAAGAAACTCACCCACGCCGATGAGCTTGAATAATTCCGGCAAGCACAGCAATTTACCGGCCAAATTCGAAGAATACAAAATCAAACATAAAATTAGCACAAAATCTAAAGTAAACTCGAGAGTATTGTGGCAGACAGGTGAGGTCTTCCCGTGGCTGAGATAGTCGGCGGATGCTCTGTCGCTGGGAAGGTTTTGGGAAGGAGAAGTTTTTGGGAAGGAGACGGATTGTGTTTGGGAAATTAATTTAGATTTGTATAATTATTTTATCTAAATTACAATTTAAGACTTAGGGTCAAATCTATAATTTTACTAAAACTTTAAGAGGTTTGATATAGGTCAATTTAGCCCAAGGGCAAAATTTGTAATTTATATAAAATATATACAAAATATTATTTTTATATATATTTTTATACTTTTATACATATGTATATATCATATTTTTTCAACAAAAAATAATATAAAATATTAAATAAAAATATTAAAATACTAAATATATTTAAATATAAATAGTTGCGCTTCGAGTGCACATTAACGACGAATTGCACATTAGTGACTATCAGATTGCACTATAGCAGTCGAATCGGACACACAAAGTTTTGGGTTTGAATTTTATATTTTGATCCGATTATTTGTATTTACTTTTAAAATTTTGATTATCTCGGTTCGATGTCGACTTTATTGTTCAATATAACGAAACCACTCGAGCTATATAAAAATATTACTTTCTTATAAATATTTATATATATATATACATGATACGTGAGAAATCTTGTATTATTTTGGGGTTTAATTTATATATTGGAGTATTTGATTTTAGTGTATTATATAAGTTTTCTCACGTATTTTATTTTGTGAACGGACATACACCAATATTCGATTTTGTGTTTATTTTGCAGTTAATACACCTATTTGTGACGTGGCATTGTTGAGGTGGCAAATTAAATTGAATTACAACTTTGGCTGGGCCGAACACTTGCAGCAGTATTGGAATTTTTGTTAGTCAAAGTGAATGACTATTATTAGTAGTTGATGTGGCATTAATTAGAGGATTAGGAAATAATTTAAAAGCATGCTGGAATGGTGGATGTGGCGGCTGGGTAGAATATTTCTAGGAGATGGACTCTTAAGTTTGTTGGGCTAAGGAATTGGAATGGAATTTGATTTTGGTTGGACTCATTTTATTAAATGATTGGGCAAAAGGAAATGGATTTTGGCTGGAGACTTAATTTTTATGGGAATAGGTCTGCGTGGCATTAGGAAAAAGGAAGGAGTTAGCAAATAATAAAAGGGCATCTCGACTTGAACAGAGAAGGCACCAAGGGGAGATATTCATGCTTGCGGGATATTAACTTCGGCCGTGGACAANATCCAACAATCAACTTCCGGCCAACCCATTTCAATCACATTTCAACCAAAATCACCCAACAATCAACTTCCGGTCAAATCAACCAACAATTGGCACCAAAATCAGCCAAATCCATTTCACTAAATCGAAATTCACCCTCGTTTCTCTTTGAAACAAAAAAAAAATAAAAAATCGAAATTCACCCATTTCAATCACATTTCACCCAAATCCCGATTCAATTCGCCAGTCCCAAAAATAATTCCTGCCGCCGCTTACCCGTTCCCGTTCAGATCGCCGGCGAGCTCATCCCGTTCAGGTGGCGTCCCCCTGCTATTCGCGCCTCGTCTCTGCAACTAATCTGCAACTCTCTCTCGGAACGGCATCCCTCGCCGTCAGTACAATCGGGGCGCTCGACAGGCGGGCTGAGGGAGATTGAGAAAGGGGCAGGTGACGGTGGTGGCGGTGTTGTGATGGCTGATGGCGCTCGATGGGGTGGTAGCGGCGACGGCGGTAGTTTGGTGGCAGCATCGACGGGAGAGTTTGGGATAGTGGCGGTGACCGGTGGTTTGTGTTGGGTTGATTCGGGCGTGTCCGGTAGGAGGGGTGGGGGAGGGAGCTGCTGTGGCAGAGGACGGCGGTGTGTCTCCGGTGGTCGCCTGCTATGGCGGAGGAAGGAGGGTTTCGGGACGGTGTAATTTAGTGTGTGTTTGTGTGTGTGCTGAGTGCGTGTGTGTGCGTTGAATTGAGTGTGTGATTTGTGTCATTGTGTGTGAGAGATATAAGGGAGGGTAATTGGGGTGGGTCCCATTAGATGAGATGTAAAATATTGTAATGACTAATATACCCTTAATTATTGGTCAAATGTGCATATTTGACCACAATAATTTAAATAATTACCAGTTTGCCATTAATGCTTGACCATAGTTTGACTTCATCATCACCATTGATATGGTTGATCTCATGGTTCAAGTTCATTCTTATTTCTCGCATTAAAAGTCATTCTCATATGATCCCTTCTCTGTATATATATATATGACATTTATGAAATTAGCCGTTGTGGATGTATATTTGACGTGTGTAATTATATTTGGTGCATGTTTTTGCCCCTCATTTAACCAACTGTAATACCAACTAAAGTTGCAAATTATTAATCATAAGAAAAGTGAAGAAAGACAAAAAGAAAACAAAATCAAAGTGGCAAAGGCCATACTGCCATAGGCGAAGAGGCAGAGCTCCCACAGTTCTCACACTTTATCACTCACAATCATTTAGCTCAACTTTCCCAAAACTTCCCTAGGGTTTATAGCTTCTCTCTCTTCCGGTCTTCCCCCTTTTTGCAACCAATATCGGACGCTCATTCAGCTAAATTTCACATGGACCTCGCTGCTAATGCGTTGCAGCCCTGAATTTGATTCACTTATGGCAAGTGATCTCTCTACTTCTCTGGGATTGCAGTCCCTAGGTACCGTACCCATTTCTATTGGAAATCACGCAGCTCTAGTTTTTTCTGTGTGCGTTTGCGTTGTTTTGCTGGTTACTGATTGATTAGAATTCGTGGTGAATGATGATGAGCAGTGTTTAGGGTTTCATCTTACTAGACCTGCAAGATACATTTTGGTTCAGTTTTGTTTGGGTTCAATGTGGGTATTGTATGACATGTTTCCATTTGGGTTGTTAATGATTCTGATTTTTGTTGAAGGACAAGCGACTTAGGAGATGAGAATGGATGATAGATAGTTGAATAGAAAGCTACTTTCTTTTATCTCAATTTTTAGACTTGTTTTTGGTATTTCGGATAGTGGATACAAGGTCTATGTTTAGATGATTATAGCTCAGTGTAGTTTTTGGTATTCAGAAGCTACTCTGAGACTTTCAATTAGACTCTATAGGTATGTGTCTTTGTTAGGGTAAAATGTAGTGTGCGTGTGTGAGAGAGAGAGAGAGAGAGAGAGAGAGAGAGAGAGAGAGAGATAGAGAGAGAGATAGAGAGAGTGCTGAAAGGATAGTATTTCTTTTTTATACATTGTTATATGTTTATGTAATTAGTTGATTGGTAGTCTGTTGAAATTGATAGGGCAGCAACATAGAAGATATTGTTAGAGGCATTTTAGAAGCAGATAGCTGCAAACATTGTGTGTTTTCTGCTTGAAATGGCAAATCTCGAGCATAAGTATTGTTTAGTTTCCCTCTGTTTTTATTAGCTGTATCCTATTTATTTTTATTTGTATTTCATACTCAAATACAGTTTCTACGTATAAGCTTATCAAGAACACTTCCTCCAGATTCTAGTTGTTGGTCTTGATCACCCTGTGGGGTTGTATAACAAATCTCCATGTTGCCCGACGGTTAGTGGGTGTTATGGATTGTGTAAGAACTGCTACTTGGCTCAAGGGTAAGAGATCTTCCAAGCTTGCCTGCTATCTGGTTATACTAAGATAATTTATTTCTTTCATTGTTTCATAAATGGATTCCATGTTAATCAATTTTACAATATGATGTATTATAGGTTTATATAATTATTCAGCTATTTGTTTTGTGCCATGCTGACATGGCAAAACATCTTAATTGTTTCACACTAAATCCATTACCATGTGCTGATTATTTGATTAATTCAGGTTTTATAAAACTGCAGGCTTTTGGTTTCATTGGTTACTGCAATTTACTATCTGGATGTATAGCATTGAGAATGTGTTGCCTCTGCAGACACAAACCTATCCCAGTCACGTTACATCAGCACCTATGCTAACTAGCCCACCAGAAGGTGGGAATTTTGAACCCATTCAAATATCACCTGCTGTTTTTCCACATACTCCGTTTCCAAATGTCAGTTTGCCTCCAATGTATCCCACCTATCCAAGTACCTATGAACCCATTTTGACTGGACGGTGCCCTGTAAACTTTTCTGTCATTTCAAGTGTCATGGAAAAAACGGCATCAGACTGCAACCAGCCGTTTGCTGGAGTAGTTGCAAACGTCATATGTTGCCCACAACTTAGTAGCTTGCTCCACATATTCAAGGGATTCTATAGCGCGAATTCTGATAATTTAGTTTTACAAAATGCAGCTGCAGATGATTGCTTTAAAGATATTGTCAGTATATTAGCCAGCAGAGGCGCTAACAGCTCAATATCAACCATATGCTCCGTGAAATCTTCAAATCTGACTGGTGGCTCATGTCCTGTGAAGGACATAGCCACTTTTGAGAGAACAGTGAACACAAGCAAGTTAATAAATGCTTGCAGTACAATTGATCCTCTTAAAGAATGTTGCCGACCAATTTGTCAACCTGTAATTATGGAAGCTGCCCTTATGTTGTCAGGAGTGCAATCATATATGAACAATAACAAGAATGCAGTTGGGCTGCCTAATCAGTTTAATGTGGTTAACGATTGCAAAGGGGTCGTCTTTTCATGGATATCGAGGAAACTTCCTCATGATTCTGCAAACAAGGCATTCCGGATATTGTCTGCCTGCAAAGTTAATAAAGGTGTGTTTCCATAGAATTCGAAGCTAAGCTTCTTTTGGGTCTTGTACATAGAAGACATTATACTTAATGGCTTTTGGATTAATACAATTACCTCTCGGTGGTGCAGCATGTCCATTGGAGCTGAGACAACCATCTAAAGTAATTGCAGCATGCCTCAGTATTTCTGCCCCTAATCATTCATGTTGTAGCTCCCTAAATAATTACATAGCTGGTATACAAAAACAAATGCTTATAACAAATCGGCAAGCAATTTTATGTGCAACCATGTTTGGCTCCATCTTGAAGAACGGAGGTGTGATGGCAAATGTTTATAAGCTTTGTGACGTAGACATAAAAGATTTTAGTCTCCAAGGTATAATATCTTGATCACTTTGTTTTCTATTTGATCTCTTGTTTGACAAATTTTTGGCGTTCTGCTGATCAATTTCACTATTCGCTGTTACATTGCTGCGTGCTGGAGCAGCATACGGACAAGAAGGTGCGTATCCCTGCCCAATTATGTTCTATTTTACTGAATGCCTGAGTTTTTTCTACTTTTATTTCTGTTTCGTGAGATGCAATAAACTGGAGTCAACCTGTTATAATGTATTTGCCCTTGCATGGATGTCAGAACAAATAAAAAAAACGAAAACTGAAGAAAAAAAATAAAAATGAAAAACGAAAATGGAAAGGAATTGAATGTTGGAACACCGTATATTAAAGGTTTCATAGCACGTCTTCGTTTATGTTTGTAAGTTATGGACATTAACCTTTCAGTACACCATATAATGTTTGGTGATTTTGGGTTTGGTTTAATTAGTCTCTGGCACTTCTGGCAAATTGTGACCTATATAATGAATCACCTTTTTAAGCTGCCTAGCAGGGTGTTTACTTCCTAGCCTGCCTGCGGATATGGTATATGACAATTCATCAGGCTTTAGCTTTCATTGTGATTTGACGGACAATATTGAAGCTCCATGGCCATCATCGTCATCCACCATGACATCACTGTCTCTTTGTGCTCCAGGTATTGGCAAAGCCCTTTGTTCCTCTAATTCATTGTACTCGCTAGTTGTTTGGGGAAGTTCTCATAAAAACTTGTCTGAATATATTCAGAGATGTCTTTGCCTGCACTACCTACGGCACTGAATCTGGGTAACCCTGGTGCGTACTCTATCAAGTATTAATGTTTATGATGGTGCTAATTTTTTAATTAAGATATTTTGAGATAGATACAAAAACTACCATCTGAAGTTTGACGTAATTAGAAAAGCCCCCATAGTATGCAATTTGGAAAATATAAGAGTATATAAAGGAGGTCGATCTTGAGAAATAAACTATTTTCCTGCAATTGGCTTAACTCTCGACTCTCAAGGGACTGCTGACTACACTATTATGATGAGTTTTTCCCTAAGCTTTAGAGGTCAACTTAATGGCCAAATATAACTGTTTCTCCCTATGAGCTGAATATTACCATTATTCCCTATAAATTTTAACATGAGCTTTTCTTTGTTTCTTGTCGGAAACTTACGAGTGTGTTTTCTCGTGCAATCCAGGCTGTTATGGAGGTGGGGTGGACCTCTTTGTTCCTATTCTTTTAATTTTTGGTGTTGGTGCATTATTCTTTTGAGCAAGTTTAGCAGAGCTTTGTATATTTTGAGCTTCGTCCATGTATATAGCTTTCATTTTTTTTTTCTTTTCAATTTATAATTTTTTGCAGCTGTTATTTTTTCTTTTCTTTTTTTCTTTTCTAGTCAAGAGTCAACTAGATGTATAGAGGGTTACTATTTATTTATTTGCTCATGGGAGATTCCTGTCATGGTAATGATGTGCATATATATGCTTATGCTGTTTGCAGTTTTTTGGGGCTTTAAAAAGTTTCCAAAATGATTCGAATAACAACTATATTTTTCATCAAAAATAAAAAATAAAAATTTTCCCTCTCTCGCGTAGGGCGATTTGGGCAATTTTCAGCCTTTGGTCTGAATCTTTCCGGCACGGTCGGTTCGTCGGCGCTTCGCTGTCCTTTGTTCTCTCTTAGAATTCTTCTTCCCCAATTTCTTTTCTATTCCCCAATTTCGAATTTGGCCTGCAATTTTTCCGGCATGATTCCCCCTTTTCAGCTATCCTTTGTGCCGTCATTATGGATGCGGATGAAATTGCAAAACTATGCAACAATCTGAGATTGGATCCTGATGAGGACTCCATTCCAGTGGCAGTGCGGGAATCAGAAGCCGGATTTGAAAAATTAGCAACTAGTTTGGTCGGGAAAATCTATGGATACAAGTATGTTAATGAGGGGCTCCAGTCTGTTCTTCGGCTTGTCTGGAAAACTACAGCTTCTTTTACAGTGGAGACAAAAGGAGTTAATAACATTTTCCTCTTCCACTTTGGTTCTGAAGAGGACAAAAACTATGTGTTGCACGGGGGACCTTGGCTCTTTAATAAACAGGTTATTTCTTTGGTTAAGCCATTGGGGGCTGGGGATCTTAATGCCATGGAGTTTAATTACATCCCCTTTTGGGGTCATCTGCATATTCTTCCCTTAGTATGCCATACAGAGTATTGTGTTAGTTTGGTCGGGCAAAATTTGGGTGAAGTTCTTGCAGTTGATATTGAGGGTATCACGCCGCGTGTTCGAGTTAAAATGGATATTCTTAAGCCTCTTCGGCGGGGACTGCGGGTTTTTATTGAGGCTATGGGCGAGGAATTCACGATTCTTATCCAATACGAAAAACTTCCAAATTTCTGTTTTATCTGTGGCCTAATTGGACATATAATGTGTGATTGTACGAATCGGTTAGAGGGTCTTGCTATTGGATCGAGCTGCAAATTTGGGGAATGGTTGCGTGCTGCTTCACCCAATTTACGACGGACACCTGGGCGCCCGAAATCTCCCCCAACAAACACATCTAGTCCTCAAAACTCCAGCTCACGGAATGTCAGTAAAGACATAAGAGATCAAACTTTCCCTCCGCTAGAAGGTACTCCTGAAGAGGATAAAACTGCTGAGTCCAGTCCCAAGGTGCTAACCTCAACAACTATTCTGGCACAGAAAAACAACAAGCAAACAATCCGTGAGGAAGGGTTCGACTGTAGCAATGATCAGGTATCCGTAAAGGTGGTATCGGAAGATCAATCTTCGCAAGCAAGGCCCAAAAAATAGCTTAATGGAAAGGGAGAGACACAAAAATGTTGGAAACGACTGCAAAAATCGAATACTAAGACCCTGCATGAAAGTGCCAAGACTTTGGAGCCAATCATCACTATACCAGATCCCCCTTATAAAAGGAAACCGGACAACTTGGAGCTTGACGACATTGGACCAAGTAAGCGATTCAAACATGTTGGTGAGGAAATGGAGGATCCCGGGTTCCTAAATAATGTAGCGACGGTCTCTGCTCAGCAGAGCTGCCGGTTACAATGAGTTGCCTATGTTAGAACGTGCAAGGCTTGGGGAATCCTTGCACGGTCCGATCGCTACGGGGTTTGACCCGTAAACTATCCCCCGATTTAGTCTTCCTGTCTGAGACTAGATTGTCCGGTGCTAAGGCAGATAATATACGGAATTTAATAAATTTTAGTGGCAACTTTGTGGTGGATTCAAACGGCAAAAGTGGCGGGCTTATGCTACTATGGTCGGACAGATGGGATGTTGATATAAAATCATTTTCTTCAGGACATATTGATGCACATATCACGGATCATGATAATAGGCGTTGGCGGTTTACAGGAGTTTATGGTCAACCAAAAATGAAAAATCATCGTCACACGTGGGAACTTCTTCGCCGCTTGTGCTCTTTTACATCTTTACTGTGGTTATGTGGAGGGGATTTTAATGAAACCACACAGCTATCGGAGTGGAAAAGGTGGAATGTTTCGGAATCAGACTACATCAATGGAGTTCCAACTGACCCTTACCGATTGTAATCTTTCTACTATCCATTTCAAGGGCTACCCTTTTACATGGAATAGTAAGAGAAAAGAGTCGGCAAATACTCAAGCTCGGTTAGACCGATTCGTGGGTAACGGGGATTGGTGCAATGAATTTCCGGAGTCATGGATTGAACATCTGCCTCTCCAATCTTCTGATCATCGGCCCATTTTTATACATGATACTAGTCGGCCTTCCCATCAAAATGTTCAGATAGCTCGTCGGTTTAAATTCGAACCATGGTGGCTGCGGGATAATAAATTTCCTGATATAGTCCGAGAAGGCTGGGCGAACGAACCTCGCATTCCTGGCAGAAGAGACACCCCTCTCTATTTCAATACCAAATTGGCAGATTGTCAGGAAAGACTCACAGCCTGGAGTAAGAGCACCTTTAAGGGATGGAGAAAAACATTACGGGAAAAAGAAAAACGTCTCCAAACCTTGCACGATTCTCCAATCTCAGAAGACCTCATGGACGAAATACACAGCTTGGAGAAGAAAATTCATATTTTATCTTCTCGTGAAGAGAGCTTTTGGAAACAACGAGCGCGAGTGGATTGGCTAAAAGAAGGAGATCGAAATACAAAATTTTTTCATAACAGAGCAAAAACGAGGTTTCTTCGTAATCAAATTCACAAACTCCAAAATGACCAGGGGATTGGATTACCAAGGCAGATGATATTGCTCGCCATGTGTCATCTTTCTTCAATGACCTCTTTTCAAGCAGTAAGCCGACTGATGAACACATCCAGTCCATAACTGATACTGTGTCTGATGGCCTTTCTCAGGAAGATGCTCTTATGCTTGATGAGCCTTTCACTGAAAATGATATTCATGACGCATTAATGAGCATTGGTCCTTATAAAGCTCCGGGAGTTGACGGCTTTCACGCAATATTTTACCAGAAATAGTGGGGCCTTATTAAGGAAGATATTATTTCAGTATGTCTAGATACCCTCAATAACGGGTACTCCCTACAGGGTCTGAACAATACAGTTATAGTGTTGATTCCAAAGAAGAAAAATCATGTTCGAATATCCGATTACCGTCCTATTAGTCTTTGCACAGTCCTCTACAAAGTAGTCTCAAAAGCAATTGCTTCTCGACTGAAGATGGTATTAAGCCCTCTAATATCAGCAAACCAAAGCGCTTTTGTCCGGGAAAGGCTCATCACGGATAATGCAATTTTGGCTTTTGAACTCCTTCATTCAATGTCTAAAAAACGTCAGGGAAATTCTCGTTGGATGGCCATTAAGCTTGATATGAGCAAAGCGTACGATCGTGTTGAATGGGATTATGTTGAGGCACTGTTGGTAAAAAAGGGATTTCCTCCCCGCTTTCGAAAACTCATTCGGAATTGCATCTCTACGGTTCAGTTTACCTTTAGTATCAACGGCCAAAATGTGGGGCATGTGCAACCTTCTCGGGGATTGCGTCAGGGATGTCCATTATCTCCGTACTTGTTTATTCTTTGTGCGGATGGATTCTCGGAAACTTTAAAAAAAGCTGAACTGGAAGGCGCGATAGAGGACTTGAAATGTAGCAAGAATGGACCTTCGATCTCGCACCTTCTTTTTGCGGACGACTCCATTATTTTCTCAAAGGCCAATCCTACTGTGGCTTCATCCATTATCAACATTCTTCATCATTATGAGCTAGCGTCGGGCCAGAAAGTCAATTTGGAGAAAATCGCGCTTTCTTTCTCCCCCAACACTCCCCAGGATATTCGACAGGTAATCTGGTCAATCTTCGACATTCAATCGTCTGTATCACACGGAACATATCTTGGGCTTCCGTCTATGATTGGTCGGAACAAAGCTCGTGCCTTTGCCTCTATCCGTGAAAAAGTTTGGACTCGATTACAGAGCTGGAACCGCAATCTCTTTTCCTCAGCTGGACGCGAAACTCTTATTAAAGCAGTTGTACAATCGATCCATGTCTACTTTATGAGCCTCTTTCGATTCCCCACTACCCTTTATAATCAAATTAGACAAATTGTTGCTCAATTTTGGTGGGGTTCTCGGCTCGGCGAACGAAAAATATCTTGGGTTAAATGGAGCAAATTGACGAAGTCAAAACAAGAAGGGGGGATGGGGTTCAGGGACTTCCATTTGTTTAACAAAGCAATGCTGGGAAAACAAGCGTGGCGGATAATTATGTTCCCTGACTCGTTGGTATCTCGGGTGCTTAAGGCTAAGTACTTCCCTTCTGACCACTTTCTTCAGGCTCGGGCACGTGTGGACTCCTCATTCATCTAGAAAAGTATCTTATGGGGACGAGAGGTAATTCAATCAGGATGCGATGGAGAGTGAGGGATGGGTTGCAAATCAAAGTTTACTCTGACCCTTGGATACCTCACTTCCGCTATTTTAAACCTTTCTCCAGACCGGTCGTTGGTATTGATCGAGTTAAGGATCTTATTGGGGTAAGCGGAACTTGGAACAAGAACTTGATTAATAGCATCTTTTTACCGATTGATGCCCAGAAGATCCTTTCTATTCCTTTACGTCTTTGTCGCTCAGCGGATCGCATTATTTGGCACCACTCAAAACATGGCACCTATACGGTAAAAAGTGGCTATCACTTACTTAAATCCCTTCCTACTGAATCCCACGTATCTTGTTCGAATATTCATATGAGGTGGTGGAAAGTTCTGTGGAAAATAAATATTGCTCCAAATGTGAAAATTTTTTTGTGGAAACTGAGTAATTTGGCTTTTCCCTCATCTGAAAATTTAGCTCGACACCACATAAATGTGGAAGTGAAATGTCACAGATGCGGAAGCTTGGAATCGAATGTCCATGTCTTTTTTGAATGTGTTTGGGTTAAAACTTTGTGGAAAATGACGGGCTGGTGGGATACAATAGCGGGCATACGTGGCATGAGCTTTATCTCGATCTTTACTGATATCCTTGATGGTACTCGGAGAGATGAGTTCCCGATGTTTTCGATTCTTTTATGGCTCATTTGGCAAGAGAGAAACCGAATAAGATACGGTTTGGCAGGTAAGAGTTTAGAACAGGTTTGGGCAGCTGGACGGAGTTGGCTAGATGAGTTGAGTCTTGTGAATTCATGCGTTGGCCCAATTACACGACTACTTAACCCGGGATCGATCGCTTGGCTTGGACCAGGTAAATGTCAAAATGGCCTTACCTTGTTTTGTGATGCTGCTGTTCGCGATTCGTCGATTGGCTTAGGAGGGTGCCTTTGTGATTCAGAGGGATTGTGTTGGGCAGCTTTTGCATCTCAACAATCTGGATCCTTTTCCCCCGCAGCTGCTGAAGCTTTAGCCCTACGTTTCGGACTTCGATTTATGCTAAATTCGGGCTTCACGATCCAAACTACCAAAACTGATGCTCTTTGCGGTGTTTCTGACCAACTCCCAAATAATCCGTTGCAGCATGTTTTTGAGGATATTACCAAGCTTTTGTTATCTTTGAATTGTGGTGTTTGTAGTCATATTGATAGAGCAAATAATGTGGTTGCTCATAACATAGCTAAATGGGCTGTAGAGGCGATGGATTCTTTCCTGTGGAAGGATTCTATGCCGTCTTTTTTCTCTTCCTTCTTTTGTGGTGTATCGGGTTCATGACTTTGATTAAATGAATCTAGTTATTTTATTTGAAAAAAAAAAAAGTTTCCAAAATGTTTTTTCCTCTAGCTCAGTTGAAATTCCCTTGTAGGGAAAATCTGATTTCGTTTTGGTATTTGACATAAATAATTTATTTGCAATTTTGATAAGTATGAATTTATTTTTGTCAATTTTTTTCTTTCCCCAATCTAATTTTACCATACAAAATTGATATTATTGATTCTCAATTATTTATTTATTAAATATCATATTCTTTTATCGTACTATAAAAGTTAATTAATAGTAGTAGAGTAATAATAATGGGATTTAACTCACATGGCACCAAACTCCGATGATGCTCCTATTTTTCTGTAAAAGTCCAATAATTCCACCTCACAGTGTTGAAGTCCAACGCACCTGACTGAAACGGACTTTAAACTGCCCAATCACTAATAACCAAAGACAAAGTGAGCCTAAAGAAGCTCCAAATCTTCTTCTTTCTGTCTTTCTTTTCAGAAAGGAAAAAATAAATATGGCATTAGATGCTGTGCCTGCGTCATGCTCCACTTATTACTTCTTTTTTCCCCCAAAAGGAACAATCTTTTTTCCTCTCTTGATTTATCCGAAATAGGGGCAATACGCCTCCGATTTGTATGAATAACACTTTTCTAATTTTCGTTGATTCTTTTAAATACTAATTCTATTATTTTGTTATCAGGATTTTTTAATAATATATTAATATTATTATTTGGACTTAAGTGTATGAATTTATTATAATTTGAGATGGTTTCACTTTTTAAATATTAAAAATAAATAAAAAAATATTTAATCTTAATTTCTAGATGCCTAGCTTAATTTTACAGGATTCGAACCAAAATATATAAATAGGCAGAGCACCAAAAAGTTGGTTTCAATTGTAAAAACTAAAACTAATAGCCATCTCTTTTTCCTTCCCTACGTGCACTTTCAGATTCCCCACATTTCTTTCTTCACCCTTCTCACCACTTCAATTATATTTTCCAGATTCTTTCAGCTTAACTCTTGTTCCAATCCTCAAAAATCCTCTTTATCTCCGCTAAAGGGGCATTACAGATTTTTTTTTTTTTCATTTTCTTATAATATTCACTAATTTCCCCTTGTATTTGATGGTCACAATAACAGAATTAGAGATTTGGGTGTGCATGTTTGTGTGTGTTAATGGCTAGCTCAAGTGGGACTTACAATGAAGTGAATTGTAATAATAATAATAATAATAATAATAAGTTGCAGAGTCATTTGTCTGTGTCTGCTTCTTACAATGGAAGCTCTGTGCATGGAGAGTGGGGTATGCCAACTTTCCAGCACCAGCAAACCATTTCAATGGATTGGACTCCTGAGGAGCAAGCCTTATTGGAGGAGGGTTTGTGCAAGTCAGTTAATTTTCCTTTTTTTTTTTTTTTC